AAATTAGAACTTAGTGCCACGTCGGTTTTTACGTTCTTACAATAGAAATGTGCTGATCCGTAATGTCAGTTAATGTTTGGGCCCATGAAATAACTTCGTCAAGGAGATGCTCGGATATAGACGGGTAAAACTCAACGATATCAAAGGAAAGTGTGATTATGTTTATTGTTGATGGCTTGGAACCAGCTGATTACGGATTCTGTATTTTTCCACTGATTCAAACTTAAGGTTGATCTAATTTTGCTGTTAATGTCATGAGTATTATCTTGCTAACCTTTCCTAGTTCGCTTTTCGATGGATTGATAAGGCGGCATTTGGGGTTAGAGTCGAAATTCTCTTTATGGTCTTTGAGAGTTATGAACGCGTTTCTTCTCGCCATTGTGTCGACACGATCCGCGATCGACAGATTGCTCGTTATATTCTTTAGTTCAGAATTGATAACATCAGATATATCGTCGCTTCCCAATTTATATGTTTTCGTTATGTTGTCAGTCAATAGTTTGTTGTATGTTTCGGTTGTAGCTTTATAGACATTTCTTGTTTTGTCGGCAAATATTAAAACATTTTGAGAAGAATTAACTTTCTCCAGGTCTACAGCGATATTGTTCAAAAACGGATCCGAGATCTTTCTGAATTTGACATTTGACACTAGATGAATGACGTCTTCCTCAAATGCTTTCATCTCAGCAACTACAGGCGCACAGTTTTTTGAAGGCAGTTGAATGTGTCGTATTCTATTCGTATTCGTATGTGTCTATTCACTATTTTCAAAGTGCCGCCACAGAAACTCATTTAGCGCGCGGAATTTTAAACGCACGCGCGCATGATGCAATCGCGTCAGCGGACCGTTGAATGAATGGCGCAAGCAAACTATTTAGAGTAGTATCGCCTGAAGATCGCTTTGAAAGCGTGAAACACTGTGTAGCGATTAATAAAATTTTAAGATTATAATTAGTATGTATAAATATATATATATAAATATATATATATATATATATAAATCAATAAATAAATCTGGACCTGGGGTTTGTGGGAAAATAAGGTTTATATCTCGGTCTAACAGACAAAAATAAAGATTTATTCTACTACCTCTGGTGACGAGCTAATTTCAAGGCCCATTCACCGCACCTCATAAAAAAATCATTAAAAAATTTAGCATTGAAGTATTTCAGTAATTACAATAATTTGGGCTACTGAAAAAATCAAATTTTAGAGCCCTCGACATTTGTACTACAAATGAAAAATTGATTATTTAAAAATTCACCAAAAATTATATTTATCGATGTTTCACTTGAAGTGAACGTACAGTAATTTAAATTCTTCAGACTAAGAATAGACTCACCAGGAAGTTTTCTCCATGGTAATGTTTTCCCTTCGCCAATATCATAAGACCTCCAAAAACTGACACCATATGCATCATCTGGGTACCGAAAATTATTTAGGCACTGGCAAAATTGATTGTGTGGGTGATCACATTTTTGAGTAAGACTTTTATCTTTAGAATCACTCAGGGCAAATGAGAGACAATGGTCTGCAGTAGTGGAAGCCTGCATCACATGCACCTTTAAAAATTAATACAATAAATTTATTTATAATTTTCTTCTGTAAAGGTACTTCTGTTTATTATAGTGAATAAAAAAGAATACACGAAATTAAAGCATTTGTTCACGAACTAATTAGACATATATTGAATTCACGGATTTATAATGAATGAATAAATAATTGAGATGGTTAATTCAATGAATGAGGATACGAATGAAAAAAGTGAAAAAAATAAAATGAATGAATGAATAAATCAATATTACCTTGTAATCGGTTTTCAGATATTGTTTTCCTTCCTTCAAGGCCAGTTGAAGTCTTTGCACTGTATGATGGTCAAGACCATGATCAATTAACTTTTCTAGAACTGATAAAAGGTCATCAAAGGCTGTGGCTCCTTCAGCAGCTATATAATCCAGTCCCTGTAATTCTTGTCTCTGAACAAAACTGTGAGTATTGAGTGATGATACGCTGTTTTATCATTGTCCTTATGACGTTTGGTGTCTCGATGATTTTACCATTGGATAGAGGAATGTGCCGTTCCCAAATGGAAGATCCTGCACTACATGAGGACTTGTAATAAACGTCAAGAAATGATCCAACTGAACGGTGCTGACTCGCATCCTAGAAGACCTTGAATCGGGTACTGGTGCTCCACGACCATACTCTAGCTTGTGATGGCGTGCAGCTTTGACTCTATAGTGAGTAATGTCTGGAATATATTTTTGGATCTTCGAAATTGGAACGAGATCTGCCATTACAGACAAGATCTGCCGACGTGTGTCCCACCCCACAGCATGTTGGTAGGTTTCTGCAAGGGTCTTTAGATAAACTTCGTCAGTATTATCGAGGTCATCTAGGGTCAAGTTTTTTTCAACCAGCTTAGCCCTCTTGGTCGCTTCCCATAAAGCTCCTCCATCACCAGGCCAATTACATCAAGTAAAGCTATAATAGACTCAGTTGCTATGGAGACATGAGTATTCTGTGAACGTTTCGTTAACTGACTAAAAGGCTTTCGAGACACTGGTATACAATTGATTCCAGAAACCGTAAGGAATTCGTTAAGTGCATTTCGGCGAATACTGAGATCCACAGCCGCATTACAACTGACCGAGGCGGAGTCTTCGCTCGCACTAGTACTGCTATTGTCTGGACAGTATAAACTCTTTTCGTCCGAATAAATGGCCAGAGATTCCATCTTTTCGCAAATTGATGTTTCACTGGCAACAGTGGTATCGCCGATGTCAAAAGATCCTTCTACGGAAGATCTTGTCTTTCACTTAGAGAAGAGGATGTTCAGTGACCATGCTCACTTCGTCTTGAATACCTAATAATGAAGGTGATTTGGTGATTTATAAAGATATTTCTGGAACTATTTAATTAAAAAACCTTATAAGATACAGTTATCTAGAAAAGGAAGACGGGTCGAATCTTGATCAGTTGTACAATGAATAACAAAGTATTTTTCGCCATAGAAACATACAAAGGACATATTTATCTTCTAGTCCTATTAATCTTTTTCATGCATGTAGGCTAATAAACTGTACAGTCCCTTTTTTGTCTTTTTTGTCTTTTTTAATAAATAAATTTTATTGCTTTAAATGGACCTTTATAGAAAGGGTGACGTCAGCAGGCCTGGACGTAGTTTGTGGAGAAAAACTTGAAAGTACAGAGGAAAGCCCACCTGCCATATTATTTGTTTTGATTTTGTTAAAAGCCAAAAGAAGTCAGCATTATGGTAAGTTTGAAGTAAATTTTTATATACATAGGCGAAATGAGTTTTCATATTCGAGTAGTTTAAACTTTATTTGCAGTTTCTATGTTAAATTGTAAATATTTTAGTCGGTAAACACCGACGTGCCACCTATATTAAGTGTCCGTTCGGACACTTTTATAGCAAATTATTTGCTTCGTTTGTTTACATATTTTGTTGCTACAAAAAAATTAAACTACGACGAATATGAAAACTCATTTCGCCTATCTATAGAAAAATTTACTTCCAGTTGTTGTTTTGTTCCAGTTTGATCCATATAATGTACCATTTTACATATCGACTATGCTATCGAGTATAAATGTTTACGAATACATAAGTTAATTATTAAGCAGCTGTTAATAGCGTGCGTGTGAAATGAACATTAATCCATACAAGGTTTGTTATTTTATTACATATTCTACCACCTCAAACTCAAATTATAGCAAATAGTTTAGAATAATTATTTTAATGTGTGTTCACTTTGATGCTCAGTTAAAATAATCAGTAAAATTGCTTTCTTTTGATACACTATTGTTTATTGATCTTATTATATTCCACAAGTACTAGTAACCCAAAAATACAGCATTGAGATATGTTACCCCAGTGCGACACCAGAAATTATTATTGTCTCCCCACATGTCGCGTTTAAAAAATGGAAGCTTGTTGCTCGTTTAACGCCGGATTAACCATGTGTCAGATGCGGCAAATGCCACGGGCCTCGCGCTTATGGGGGCATTGCGCTTTACTGTGCCACGCCCATTTTTACGAGAACACGGCCATTTTCTGTTGGGACACACCCATTTTAGGTGTCTCGCGAATTTAGGGCCCCTAGGCTTGGCAGTTGGCCCCAGCACGGCCCCGGGAAGATATGCAATACTCGTGTGCATGTAATCTCCAGTGGCGTTGAGCTGTTATATTATGATCCTGTTTATACATGTTGACCCAACAACTGGGCCAGGCAGGCCATTGTCTCGTTTATAATTGATGCTAATAAATTGAAATATTGAAAAAAATTATTTAACAATTTTGTGTGTCTTTAAATTCAAAGATTTTCATAACAAGGCGGAGAGTGGGGGGGGGAGGGGGTTGGGGGCCTCGCGCTAAAATCTGCCACGAGCCTCGCGCGACGTTAATCCGGCCCTGGTCACTTGTCGGTAGTTCTTGTGGTTTTAATGCCAATTGCCAAAGAACGAAAGAGAGCACCGATGACTTCCCCCGTCGGAGAATTTCTGGCGCATCCCAGGCCAGCTCAGTGAAATATGGGGGCCCGGGGCCAATTATATCTTTGGGGCCCCGGTGAACCACAATAATTCCCCTCCCACCCCTCCGTCGACAAACTTTTTACCCCCTTGCAAATTTGTATTTGCCGGCCCTCCTTGAGCTGCGGTCGCGGAGAAAATTGCTCCCTTTGCCCCCCACCCCCCTGCAAGGGCGGCCCTGGCGCCACCCTTGTCTTATCATAACTATCTACTTCAAATAATTTTTAAAGCCCTGGTCTTTTTCAAGTAGTTTTTTGTCCCGAAAAAGTAAAAGACTTAGTGTAAAGCTTTGTTACGTTTTGTCATTCTGAGGCCAGCGAAATAACCTCTTACGCAACATGCATGCGTACGCGTCTACTATCGTCAAGAAACAATCAATACGTATAATCGTTGTGGTCTGTGGGATTTTAATGAGATTTAATGACCTTGCAGTTTTAACACACATTAGCCGAATTCATATTAGAGATGGGAAACTCATATTAGACGGGAAACTCGTCTTAAATTCGAATTTATCCGTCCCTTAATTCATATTCAGGCGGGTTTTCACAGACGAGTTTCCGTCTAACACGAGTTTCGCGTCCCTAATATCAATTCGGCTATTCAAATATAAGGGCTGGTAAACTAAAAATAAAAACTCCTTATATTGATAAACATTATAAACGTTCATTTCATGTACACGCACGCTAACACCTGCTTAATAATTAACTTACGTCTTCGTAGACATTATAGTCGATACATAACTGGTACATTAATTTAATAATATGGACAAAATGGAACAAAACCTCTGAAAACAGCAGTTGTAGTTCTAATTATTTTGCTAAATTTAGTAACAAATATAATCCCTAAACAGCTCATCGCTTTGTATGTTAGCGCTATTAAAAGTAGACAATATTGAACAGTGATCTGAAGTTATCATGCAACTGACAACGATATTATATCTCAAAATACCTGTATATGATGATATTTCACAAATATATCGGGATTTCTGGACCAATTTTAAACTTAGCAAGGCAAAAAGTCTCCATTCAAGAATATATCTTCTTAACAAAAGGTAAAATACTTAAAATACTTGATTAAATTGTTTACTTCGACGGTATGTAAATTAACACCGTTTGACTTGCAAGACGTCAAAAACGGACGATTTCAACGCGCTGCCGTTTATCGCGTATTCATTTGCCCAAAGAAGTATTTACGTCAATTGAAAGCTTGTTTATTAAAGAGCCAACTAGTAGAAGCATGATCGATTTGGAGCTTTATCCCATGGTGAAAATCGGTTTTGTTAAGAGGGTATCGTAAATGAGGTAAGATAGTGTGCTTCAAAACTACGATTATTTCTATTCCTAAAAGTAACTCAGATTTCCTGTAAGTCACGTACCCGGTCCTTTGAATAACCGAAAACAAGATTTTTAGGGTTTTAGATTGATTAGAAACGGTTTTCGTCGTGAAATTTGTCGGTAAAATCAGCGCATATTTTCCCAGACAAAATGGCGATTTAGGGTGGTCGTGTTAAAACGGCATTCTCTCAAAGTTAAAAAAGCATTTGACCTAAAAAAATATATGGTGCATTTTCCGATATAATAAGGTATATCTGGGCAAAATTTGAGCAAAATCGATTTTTCCGTCGTGGCCGCCTTATGTTTGATTTTTGTGGACATCCTCTCTTAAATTTTCAAACTCGTGCATGAGGTTGTATAAGTCTGATACCACGCAGTGCATGCGGGAAATCCCAGAACTCTGTTGGGGAAGACCCTCGAAAGACCCGTGAAAGGCATAAAAAGACAATATTATAACTAATGTACTGTCTTAATATAGTGAAAGTAGCTCGTTTGAAAAGAGGGAAAAGGTGAGAGGGAAATCCGAGTCATATAGTGAGAATAGTACATAAATTAATAACCAAGGTAAGCAATCACAGTTGATTGATATGATCTTAATTATCGTCAATTGGTAACTCAATAATATGCATTTCTACAGTAGTCCGTAACTCAATATTCAATAACAATAGTTAAAGTTAGGCCGTCGGCGACGGCATACTTCGAAACCCGGACCGGACTCGGACCCGGACTCGGACTCTAAGAAAATCCGGACTCGAGAAAAACCCGGACCCGGACTCGAATAAAATCCGGACTCGTGTTTAAGAAAACCCGGACTTGACTTTTGAAAACCCGGACTCGAAATAAAAAAAACGGATTTAAAACAAGTACTCTGTGTACGAGAATGCAAAGGTTTTTTGGAAAGGTTTAATAATAGTTAACATGATAAACGATGATCTCTTTATAACAATAATCCGGTATATATCTTTAAATAAATTTCTAGAGTGCTGTTGCACAAACTGGTGTAGTGCTGATAAAGAATCTGAGTTGCATCGGTAATATTAAATTTGCGGATCTGTTCTCTCGCGCGGGTGTTCCTATCTCTTCCCGCTTTCTAGATATAGATATAGATAGAATACTTTATTTGAAAAGCAATAAGCTTGGTTTCGAATGGTGTAGATCACTTTCTTTTCTAGTGACTCAGTGTTATGTGTTATGTGAGGATACTAATCAGTAATCATATTATGATTCCTCACAAAATAATCACGGCTATATAGTATATACCTGGCGGAACAAATCATTTAGGCACTTGAACACCAAAATGCATTTATGTATACTTGCGCGAGTAGCTGAATCTACCCTAAACCTAAATTAATAACTAAAATCTGTCTCAGCAATCAAGAATGTCTTGTCTGGAAACCATCTCGATACATGATTGCTGCAACCATAGCAGGCAACGTGATGGCGGCAAGGGTAAAATATACCCCAACACAGTGTATCAATGGACAGCACACTTTCGAAAAATTTGTCAAAATGACACGACTTGGATAACTCGAACGTGTCATTTGTGGCTTAGGCCATCGTTTCAATGGTAGAAAATCCAATGATAGCTTTCCGGCAAAGTTCAGAATATATATATACAGTATATATATTGCCAAAAAACAAACTCAATAAAAATTATTTCCGTTTTAGCAAAGTAACTAACGGCCAAGCACATCACATGCTGAAGGCAGTGAAGGTGTCGCGGCAATTTGATATTATAAAGTGCTCTCAAATATTTGGGCAAGACGCTGCTGTAAACACGTTTATTTTCTTAATTTTGTTAAGATAAAGTTTACACACACGAATTGAACACCCACAATTATTCCTAATCAAAAATAGTAGAAAACACATCACAATGAAAGCAATCTTAAAGTGGAAACAAAAAAAGGTGTCGCAACACCCACGGCCTAATAATACCGACAGTGAAATTCGCGTTGGGTGAATTGGCCGAAATTCAGTGATATTGAAACTCTCTCGTTAGGCAATGCGTTCATCAATTGCCCGAAGTGCCTTGCATATAACCGCGGCTCATTTATGCATACGTCTACAAGACAGCTAGTACGAGGGTAGCATGTTGATTCTCAAAATAACCTGATTTATTGTCAAACTTCATTGTCAGTATCGAGTCTCACACGTTGTTTGCTATGGTTGCAGCACTTGTGTAACGAGATGGTTTCCAGACAAGACATTCTTGACTGCTGAGACAGATTTTAGTTATTAATTTAGGTCTAGGGTAGATTTAGCTGTTTAAGTGTCTAAATTTTTTCAGGTATACTATATAGTGATTATTTTGTAAGGAATCATAGTATGATTATTGATTAGTATCCTCACATAACACATAACACTGAGTCACTAGAAGAAAAAATGATCTACATGTTTCAAAACCAAGCTTATTGCTTTTGAAATAAAGTATTCTATCTATATCTATATATAGAAAGCGAGAAGAGATAGGGACACCCGCAATTGTTACCGAGCAACTCAGATTCTTTATCACCACTACGCCAGATAGTGCAACAGCACTCTAGAAATTTATTTAAAGATATATACATCATTATTGTTATAAAGAGATCATCGTTAATCATGTTGACTATTATTAAACCTTTCCAAAAAACCTTTACATTCTCGTACACAGAGTCCTTGTTTTGAATCCGGTTTTTTCTATTTCGAGTCCGAGTTTTCAAAAGTCAAGTCCGGGTTTTCTTAAACACGAGTCCGGATTTTTTTCGAGTCCGGGTCCAGGTTTTTCTCGAGTCCGGATTTTCTTAGAGTCCGAGTCCGGGTCCGAGTCCGAGTCCGGTCCGGGTTTCGAAGTATGCCGTCATAAGGTTCGATCTTAGTCATGTCGTATTATGCGACACAGGTTTGATATATGAGCTTAACCGCGAGCTTTTCATGCAACGAACCTAAAGCCTGCCACACACGAGAGCAACTTGCTGAGCTAACCGCCTCACGTGGCAGCTAGCTCAGCAAGTTTTTCTCGTGTGCACAGGCTTAAAGCCTGGTTCACACTTGTCCGCGTAATTCATCGGGGATCTATTGTATTATTTTCCGACAGACAAAGCATTTTACACACCAATTCCACAGCATGGAAATCCCCGATTCTTACGACCAGTATGAACCAGGCATAATGCATACATGTTTTTTAATTAACGTACATTATTATATGATTATATATTAGCAATTTAGGCCCCAAAATTTCTGATATAGTGTACTTGTATTTTGGCACGGTACAATTAAGTCGTCTAAATCACTTGCCGTACTGGTCGATCCCCAATTTAATTTGCTTAGATATCTAGTAATACAAAGCAAAAGGACAAAGTAATAAAGTCAAACAAATACTCTCATCTTCTACTGACCGAAATTTCTAGAAAATCGGTTAATTTAACCTAACCGGTGGGGAGGATGTCTGTTTTAAAAGTCTCTTTCGTGTTAATACTTCAGTACTAGGAGTAACTGGATCCGAGCTTACGCATGACTAATTTCATTTATAGATGAGTCTGGAATCTGCGTTGGTTTGATGTCTTCTATTGGAGGTTACATTATATTATATATCATATACTGAGTATTGAGTACTTTATACTATAACACGGTTTTAATAGATTTGCTGAAATAACTTTATTTTATTATGTCGTGTATAACTTTCAATCGCATGGTGTATAACTATAATTTAATTAGTTAGAAACATACGTCATAGGCTGACTCAGCGATGACTTGGCATATCTACGCCTACGTAGTTCCGTTTAGTCAAGTAAACGTACGTTCAAGCACCCTCTGGTCGATGTCCACGTAATTGTCAGACACTGCTAGGGTGTATATAGTTTTGTGAAATAAAACTACTAGAAAATATATGCATGCAGAAACCCTCGCCTTGCTGACAAAACCATTGTATTTTCCGAACATGAAGTATCTAAAGTAGTTGTCATGGTAACACGATAATTTTTTAAGAATATTCTTACAAATGAAAATCGCCTAAAAATATCACTTTTAATTACAAAATTATCAATTTCCCAACATATATATGTTAGGTATGTAATTATATACGTAACACAAGCTTCAATTTAAGGTAAAATTCAACCACAAACAATTCACAAAACGTTTTAAAGTGGTCTTTATAAAACTAAACTGCCTATATCAGGGTCAGGGAAATGATTTTTCCTGATAGTTTAACAATTTTAAGAGCATTTGCAATATATTTGACCAGACGAGAATTTGATCTTCATGGACTTTTTGGGCCTCAAAGTTGCGGATTTTGGCAAATTTTTGTGTTTGACCGTGAGATACAATTAGTGGTAACTAGTTGTGTTGTGAGGCGGAAGTGACGTAGGAATGAGAAGACATGCTTTCAGAACAACAGGACATTTATAGTAAAACAGCAACATTGAACACTTTCTCCTTTTTAAAAACACGAGAAAAGAATATTTTATCGGTTTTTTGTTTATTTCGCTGAACGTCCATGGTTCAGAGATGCCACATGGGTGTGTAGCATATGGATGCTCCAACATTGCTAGCCAAAATGAAGGAATATCGCTGCACAATATTCCGTATGCGTCTATGCGAATGACGATCGGCCAGAGGCAATAAAGCGAAGGAAACGATAGGTTGGCTTTGTGAAACGAAAGAGACTGAACTTCGAACCAACAGCTTCATCGAAGATATGCTCAAGACATTTTATGGCCGCAGATTTTGTGAGACCATTCGCTGTTGGTTTGACAACTGAGAAACCGAAATTGAAACAGCTACTATAAAAGACAGACAACTTTGGTATCTGCGTGTATCCATGAGTGGCGATGAAATGAAACCTTTATCCGCAAGAGATCGCCGATATTCTGTAAGTAATGCATTTAGTAATTATGTCTTTACTATTGCCAGTCGTCAGTCCTTAATTTCGTTCAATGTGAATATGTTATATAAGAATGCATAATAAATCGTGCCATATATATTCATTAAAATTATATGTATTCATACCTGCAGGTAATAAATGTTAAGTGGTCAAGTACATTGCTAAAAGAGGAAGGTGAACCCTCCACCTCGACTGAACAAGGTGAAACCTCAACAATGGCTGAAGTTTATACTGACAAAGGTGAACCATTTACTTCAACATTGACTGATCAAGATGAACCCTCAACATGGCCTGGGCCTAGTGGTACAGAGGATACATTTGTCCAAGCAATTGACCAGGTTGGTAGTAGGCAGTGAACTAAAAATACCTGGAACGCTACCTCCAATAGGATTGGCTTATGATCGGATGATGCCAAATTTTACCTCCAGCCGCGCGTGTTCTACCTCCAGACACGCGCGTTTGTGTTGCGAGATATTCTCGCGAGACCATTTCGGCGAAGTGACTGAATGTTTTTTCTCGGGCGAATGGATCGAAAATTGTCGTTTATTTAGGGTTTTAAGCTATATTTTTGTATTAAAAGTGTATTTAAAACATATCTTGAACCCTACCTACTAAAATTGCAAGGAAGAAAGTAGGCGATTGGAGACAACAAGTGCATATTTGAATGACTGGAACGTTTATATGCAGAAGAAACTTGAGAAAGATAAGTAATTCTTTATCTTAACGTATTAAATATATGTTTATAACAACTTCATTGATTGTTAAACAAGATAAGTTTATTTAATCTGTATCTATCACTTTGTTTGCCTTCGTTGACGACTTGTTCTGTGTATTTCTTGCCGAATGTGAATAATCGCAACATGAAATACTTGTCCGCGAAAAAAACTTTCTTAATGTCTTTAATGTTTATATTTGTTGTAAAACTTACTAAATACTCTAATACAAAACATAATTAAACTGTGGTTGGTAGTTTGATCTTGTTAGAATACCTTTTTTCCTAACTTTCGGACGAATAAATTGGAAAACGAATGAGCAAAATAGGGAAATTCGCACAAATACTTATGATTAGACCACGGCAAGCTCCTCTCCTCGCTCAACGTTTTTCTCAAAAAAGGAAATTTAATTATGAATTCTACACAAATAAATTAAAAATATTTTACTCTAGAGTTTTGAAGGATGTTTTTATTGTAAAATATGTACTGGTAGGTGCATTTTACGTCGTCTTAAACCATGTTTTAGTGCATTTTTTTACCCAGTTTTGGAAATTTAAAAAACCCGCGTTCATTTCCGTTACGTGAAAAGACTGGGCATGACAACAGTGGGCATGCCTGGGCATGGCTTTACATTTCCGGTTGGAGGTATCGTTCCAGTTATTTTTTGTTCAATGGTAGTAGGCCGTATTCCCTGGCCCCAAAAGTCGCTTAGAAAACGATTTTTGTTACCCTCCTTCGGGCACTACTTTAAATTTACATGAATCTATAGATTTTTATACACTGAGTTCGAATTCACTTGTTGTCACTCACACAAACCTGCAGTTTTTTTGCATTTTACGATCAAACATCAACATTTTTTATTAAAATTTCCGCCATTTTGTTCAGGAAACTTCATGTTATAATACAGTTATTGTACTACCGGGTGTCCCAAAAAAAAGTACTCCGGTTTGATTCGTAATAACCTCCAAACAATTAAAGATTTTAAAGAGAAATAACTAGCATCAAATATAGGAAGGACTAACTTAGATTTTGATATATTAGAGTTGTATTTCACTTAAAAATTCACGGAGATATTAATGTTTAAAATCGGGAGCATATTTCTGGATGTGTCTGAAATATGCAAAAAACGGCGTATCAAATATTAATCAACATTTGCCCGACTGAAACGTGCACTATTACCAGTAAATAAATGACATTTGACAAATTGTTTATTATGAAACAAAGTATTATTATCTATACAAAATACAAGCAAGATTTATTTGTCCGAAATCCATGTGCATGTTTTCCTAGCACGAATACGTTTCCTTATTTCATGAGACCACGGCATCGCGAAGGATCGTCATGAATATCCGCGTTCGTATAGTTCTGAATTAGGGCATGCTGTCACAATAGAATTGTGAAGCTAGCTCTTCTAACTTCTTCGAAGTTCTGAAATCTTGTTAAGAAAACTCAAACTCTTTTGCCTTTTCTTAATCTTGTTTATCTTGTTAAGTTCAGAATAAACTGAGAATGAAACACAATCAAACCATACAACTCCATAAGTCATAACAAGCAACTCCCCAGAGACATCCAACATTTTTGGAACAAAACGTAACAAAATAGTAGCGTCGATACTGTGATGTGTATTTGCAAAAAGCAATATTATTTCCTTCATAATAAGAATATTATTCATCATGCTCTAACCGAGAAATAATCAACTCTGTTTTTAACCCATGAAAAACATAAAAAATTAGGCTATTTAATTTTAAAAAAATTTAGTGGTCTTTCATGTACCTTTAAGTTTGTAGGCTAAAGACCTATTAAATACTTGCATAATTTCGAACATTCATATTTCAGGAAATAATGACATGAGCTAAGACTTACATGCATGTTAAGATGTCTAAATCTACGCCATATCCCTTATACAAACCCTAACGACAATTCGTTGAAATACAAGTTAGCCTGATATGTCATAAACAAATAAACGCTGGAGTTATATTTGATATGCCAATTTTCGCTAATTTTAGACACATCCCAAAATATGCTCCCGATTTTGAACATTAATATCTCGGTGAATTTTTAAGTAAAATACAACTGTAATATACCAAAATCTAAGTTAGTCCCTCCTATATGTAATGCAAGTTATTTCTGTTTGATAGCTTTACTTGTTTAGAAGTTATTATAAATCAAACAGGAGTACTTTTTTTTGGGACACTGGTAGTTCAAGTCTCTTAGCAGGGGGGTTGCACGCGGTATTATGCATTTTTATCATTCTTCTCTGAGGAAAATATACAGAAATAAATAAAAATATAGATATGTTTCCACAATATTAAAGTGCGAAAGGTAATAATACATGTTTGTAAATAATCAGGAACTAATCTACTGTTCTTGTCATCCATAAAGACTCACTTGTCCTTGGTAAAGTTGTTTATTTTATTTATTATTGAAATTATGTACATAATTTTAGCCTTGCAATGTGAATAGGCAATTTTCCTGGGTATTGTCTACCTGAAATTTTTGTCAACAATAAAGTTTTGAAGGTTTTACCCCTCAGAGAGATTTCAAAATAAATTTTAACTTTGAAACTTTCTAATCTCCTAGGCAAGCCAGCCCAGGTAACCCGAGTTGATTTCATCCCATGTTTACAAGAGACTTATGAGGCGGGCTGGCTTGCCAAAACAGATCATTGGTATCACTGCTATAAATAGTATAATATAATATTTTTTACTTCTCAAAATCTTGCCTAGACAGGCCAGCCCAGTTCCATATAAATGCAAGACGAATATTTACTTGGTTTAAATTACATAGCGACGTTAGATCTTGGCAAAGCGAGCCAGCTCGGGTATCCGGCTGGCTTGGATACCCCCTAAGGAAATGAAGAAATGTTATTTACATCAATAGATTGATGTGAATAGAGTAGTATTTAATGCCCAGCTGTTATCCAAGATCTAAGGCATGGAAAAAAGAGTCTTGGCTAGGCAGCCCAACCGGGAAGAAGGTTTATGTAACTAATGCATATTCATTTGGTAGGTATAGTGATGCCAGATTACTTTAAATTTCTAGTGCCTGCCTGGCGAAATATAAATTAATAAATTATCCCTTCTCCAAGTACTTGGCAATGAGTGGCAGCTCAAATAGGATTAGAGCTTATTAAGGTGATGATGGTGATGATGTATCATGACAATATGTTGTTAAACCTCAAATGGCTCGACCAATTCATGTCTCTAGGTGGCATGACTTTGAGATTTGCTTGTGTGAATATAATTTTTTGCTTAGTACCTTTGTTCCAGGAAGCCCATGCATATGCTTGCCTCAACAGTGTCATATAAATTGAAACATCATGCAAGCTTCTTGTATTGTAGCTGTATCAATTGGGGCTACTGTATGTCCTGTATGGCCACCACTTGCTAATGTAAATACTTTAATAACAATAAGTGATTAAAAAAATATGGCTAATCTAGGCTGGGTTAACTCCATATAAACAGACCAAAAGTAGGCTGTCAGTCTGTCTTAGAGTGAAAGACATCTTCCAAAAGTTTTTTTTATAAAGCTCAATGTCATGATAGCAAAACTTTTATTATAATACAAGGAAATGGAACATACCATAGTTAATAGAATAGATGGTTTGGAAACTCATTAGAATAGCAATATAACTGATTATCTATATGTTAGTCAACGTTTACAGAGGTGTAACTTAACACTTGCCCGGGGCAAGTGAATATCATGACGGGCAAGTAAACATTTTATCTTGCCCGATTGGGCAAGTTGCCTCTTGCCACAAAAAGCTCGGCTTTCATTATCGGACATTTTTTTAATGGTGCACTTGATTCAAATTTTGTTTTTTGTGGGCCAAAGCTAGATCTAAGGCAGTATAACATAGCCATATAGAGCAGTGGGAGAATGAGTCGACATGTTGCCCCCTTGATTTATACCCCCTGGCAAATGAATTTTATTCAGGGCAACTAATTTTCATGTCCAATTAACTTGCCCTGAGAGCAAGTGGTCAAAAAAGTAAAGTTACACCACTGGTTTATTCATAAATCTGGTCTCTGTATTTTTGCCTAACTAACCAATAGCAATGTCTTAGGAAAGTTATCTATCCGTGACTCAAACAATAGGGTAAATTAAAAATGACAAGAATACAAGGTGGATTTGGCAAGAATACAATACACACATGACGATGAAGGACCAGATTTATGAATAAACGTTGACTAACATAAATAATGAGTTTCAGCCAAACCATCTATTCTATTAACTGTGATGGAACTCGTTATGTGCAGATTTATATGGATGAGCTAATTTGATCGAGGTCAACTGCTACTAATGGGCAATGGTCTATTTGTGCTAATAAATTATCTAGGTGACTAGGTCTAAAATTTTATACTAAACTACAACAAATAGGTCTAACATTTATTAATTGACTGTAAACAACAAGTATATTGTGCTCCTTATTCATTGTTAAATTAACAAAAATTTGAAAGAAAAATTGCCTATTCACATTGTAAGGCTAAAATTATGTACATAATTTCAGTAATAAACAAAATAAACAACTTTACCAAGGACAAGTCAAGTGAGTCTTTCAGTCTTTGTGGATAAAGTGACAGTCTTTGCAATTTCACATCAAGGTGAGGCAAAAAAAACAAAAGTTGGTGCAATAAAGAATAGTAGATTAGTTCCTGATTATATACAAACATGTATTATTATCTTTTCCATTTTAATATTGTGAAAAATATCTATATTTTTATTTGTTTCTGTATATTTTCCTCAGAAGAATGATAAAATGCGTAATACCGCGTGCAACCCCCCCTGCTAAGAGACTTGAACTAGTACAATAATTGTATATAACATGAAGTTTCCTGAACAAAATGGCGGAAATTTTAATAAAAAATATCGATGTTTGATCATAAAATACAAAAAAACTGCAGGTTTGTGCGAGTGACAACAAGTGAATTCGTACTCAGCGTATAAAAATCTATAGATTCATGTGAATTTAAAGTAGTGCCCGAAGGGGGGCAACAAAACTGAACGAAAAGCAGTCAGGGAATACGGCCTATAGTTGTAAACTATTGTATTTACTTAATATTATTTTATTTTAGACTAGCACACGTGAAACTGTTGAAGTTGCTTGTAAAAATTGCACAAAGCTGAAATAAGAGCTACTGCGATTGAAAATGTGACATATGGTAAAAGGTGTGCAAATAGTGAATGCAATCATTAAAAAGTACTTTTAAAATGTTTTTGGGCAATATATACTGTACAAAGTGTTGTGTTTATTTAATTAAATGAATAATATTCTTAACTTTATTCTTATAGCATTTTTCCAAATAATGAAAACCTCATGATGGAACCGAAGTTTGTTGTCTTGCTCTCGCAATCGTTGGAACTATTCAAAGTTTGTGCAACATGCAAGAAGCCTGATGTGCTGGTAGAAATGAAAGAGTTTGGCACAATGGTTCAAGTTGAGATGACGTGCAACAACAAAATATGTCCAGGGGGAAATAAAGTCTGGAAAAGTCAATCATTGATGCCTGGCACTTTGGATTGTCCTCGTAATAAAAAATAATTACAAACAAATTTGACATTACACTAATTTGCAAACTACATACTACCTCAACCCAGTGGTGAGGCATTTGAAATCAATTAGGCCAAGAAATACCATGGTTTCCTATTATATGTTACAAAAACCTAGGAAGAGTAGGTCGGTTTTGAATTTTTTATTTTATTTTTATGAATTTTATACATCATATCACAAACCAGTGAGCTCTAAACACCAGGAACCCTGGTATTATTTTCTGGCCTTATAAAATTAATCGAAATCAGTTTTTGTATTGATCTCACTTCAAGTGTTTGCAAATGGGGGATATGCCTCGGACATCAGTCCCACTTCGGGGAACTTTCCACTTTTTTACCAATCTAGGAATTAACCCATTGAGTCGCATTGCGCCCTGATGCACTCCACTTTATTATTTTACTCTGTCTAACGGCAGACGATTTTACTCATCAAGGGGAGAGCGCTGGTGCTTAATGGGTAACTGGCCTATCTGCCCATGTGTCTCTTTAATCCATTGAGTCGCATTGTGCCCTGATGCACCCTACTTTATTATTTACTCTTTCTAATGCAAGACGATTTTACTCGTCAAGGGGAGAGTGCTGGCGATAAATGGGTTAACAAGATTTATTTAAAATGTCAGAAGCCCTGGGGGTAGGCACTTTTGGATGCATAATATTATTGTGATGATATCATTCCAACTCTTTGTCATCCTCAAGACCTTTGAAGTCTTTTCCACCAAAAGCGTGTCTTATGGCATGATAAGCACATGCTGGTAAAGGTATTCTTCTCTTTCCCAAGTATCCATAAACCAATAGTATATAGTATATACTCTCTATAGGCAACACTTCGGAAACACCTATAATATAAGAAACTTTTCATGTAATATTTGTAATAGTTTTATATAAATGAAATTTTCTGATTGATAACAAATTGTGGGGATTTATCAGGGTTAAAAATGGCTATATTAGATTGTTTAATAAATATATATATTATTATATATATGTGTCTTGCCTGTTTTCATCACCTTCTACGTTTTCGAAATTTACGCCCTGCCGGACGCAATGACCAGGGTGATAAACAGACCGAACCAAAGCCGCCTGGATGAAGCGTTATGCAATTTGGCTCAGCACCTACTTCTTGTAAAACAAGTTCTGTCCCTAACGCTTCTAAGCAGCCTTCGATTTCTTGGCAGCATTGAGCCTCTCTCTCATTTACCAGTAAATCGACTTTACATAGTTCGCATGTATACCTGAAATAAAAAGAAACACGATATAATATTCATTGTGATTTGTCAAACGAAAAAGGAAAATATTTTTACATGAGTGTCAACACTAGCCTGCGTACGCCGTAACGTCTACACAGAATGTAAACACGAGCTCTGTCTCTGAGTCTGAGCTCACATATAGTACACATTTCACCTACCAATTTAATACGGGGATGGTTCCGTTCAAGCGAGACATAAGCAGCTGTCGTCTCTCTTCTTCGGCACGTCTCTTCGTCGTATTGAGCTATCCAAGCTGGATCAGCAATCGGTTCGTCTTGGTAAGGTTGTAAGCCTGGCCACTGGTCTTCATCGCTTTGTGTTGAGCTGTGGGAGGCTGAACTGCATCATCTTCGATTTCCATTATATAAGTTGGCAAAAAATTCATATCCGAATCTCAAAAACTTGACGACATTGTTTTAACGAAAAGTTAACCCAAAATGTTATTAAACGGAAAAAATTGGACGATATTTTGGACTAAAATTCTATGCTGTTTTATTATGATGATACTTTGCAAGATTAGCGTGTTCTCATTCTTACATCACTTCCGGCGGTTAACGCCGATTAGGTACCAGTACTTTCAAGCTCGCGGTAATTCGAAAAATCACCAACTTTGAGGCCCAAAAAGTCCATGAAGATCAAATTTTCGTCTAGTCAAGTATATTGCAAATGTTCTTAAAATCGTCTAAACTATCAGGAAAAGTCATTTCCCTGACCCTGATATAGGCACTTTAACTATTAAACAGCTTTATCGATAAACTTTGAGTTTGCAATAAAATGATTTCAAATTCTCGCTTGAAAATAACTTTGCTTTATTTTTTTATTTAAAAAATTCAATATAATATAAAAGAAAGGAATCATTAAAGATACACTGAAATTATATGCTGTCTTGTTTAGCTGTTTCATATACGCAAAGCCAAAGGCCGTCGTGTTTTAAAGCCATTATAAAATCAATATTTAAAACAAACTTATCTTCGTTAACGTCGGCTCCCTTCTATTAGCCGATTCTTTCGCCCTTTCTTTCTTGAAATTTACAAAATCTTGCAGAAATACGAGCGAAAATGAAATATATTTGCAAGAAATTTATCAATCATCAAATCACAGAATAGATACTGGACCAGAAGTGCCACTCCTATTTGTTTTGGCTGAAGGAAAACGTCCGAAATTTTTTTGCGTGCAATGACGCCATCCTGGAGTGCACTCGGCACTTTGTACCTATGTTTTCCTATGAAAAGCTTGCGTATGCACTCCAGGATGGCGTCATATGATGGCGTATTTTCACGTCAGCACTCGTAAAATTTTGGACAAAATATCGTCTGAGTGACACTTCTGGTCCTGTATCTATTCTGTGATCAAATCAAGAAATGTTTGCTATTTCCGTGTCGTCATGCAGTCGTTATAATGCAAACTTTAAATTGGACCAATCAGTGTACGTTATTCATAACAGTCCGCCATATTTTTGAGATCAGTGAGGATGACCACCCATCGTTGGTGACCGACGCCCGCGCTCATTGATGAACTTTAGACTTCGCTAATGCTTTCGTTTCTCCGGGTGCAAATAGCCGGGGGGAATTAGTACCCTCGCTCCGCGCTTCGCGCCGTCGGCTCGGGGATATAAGACCAAACTAGAAAATACATGCATGCAGAAACCCTCGCCTTGCTGACAAAACCATTGTATTTTCCGAACATGAAGTTCTAAAGCAGTTGTCATGGTAACACGATAATTTTTTAAGAATATTCTTACAAATGAAAAATCGCCTAAAAATATCACTTTTAATTACAAAATTATTAATTTCCCAACATATATATGTTAGGTATGTTATTATACGTAATATAAGCCACAATTTAAGGTAAAATTCAACCACAAACGCTTCGCAAAACGTTTTAAAGTCACTGGTGTTCTTTATAAAACTAAACTGCCTATTACTATTACTATTAAAATGGCTTTATCGATAAACTTTGAGTTTGCAATAAAATGACTTCAAATTCTCGCTTGCAAATAACTTTGCTTTCTTTTTTATTTAAAAAGTTCAATATCATAAAAATGGGAATCAATATTAAAGATACACTGAAATTGTATGTTGTTTTGTTTAGGCCACTACAAGTTAATCTTTAGTTTCTTGTCCGACCTTACCTTCGTTTACGACGCGGGCGGGCGGGTGGTTAGGACTATAAGACATAATTACAATTGTGGCTTTGCCCACATTTTTGTGGTCTTTCTTGTCCCTTTTCATGTAACCTGAGTATCAGGCTCTCGGTATTGAAGAGAGCCTGACACAATTCGCCTCTACGGGCTTTCCACCCCCAGAATATCAGCCAATTAAAATTATTTCCGGTTGTAGCATATTTCCGGTTGTCCGCTACAGGTATGTAAATACGCAAATTTCGTTATTTGCAGTTTTATATAAATTTGAATAAATACGTTGAAAAATCGGTATGTTTTTGTCGAAATATCCACATGATGGAATTCTAAGCGTAAACTATGCCTTATTCGGGGAACCATAGCTCGATGGCTTTTTCCAGGAGTCTAAAGAGACAACATTCGGCGCTCTGAATAGGATTTCTTCTTCGTCGGTCCTAGCTCGTGTCATGTTAATAGTTTGTTCGAGACAGCTATTCGCTTCAACTGCGTCTGACACAGCGGCTATTGTCTTCAATTTCTGCCTGATGTTGGCATATTAGTTCGAGCGAGCTGACTACTATATCCTTGCAGGTCTTGGAAAACAGCTCGGCAATAAACTGATAAATAAGGCTTCAGCTTTTTGGAACTAAATATTTGAAAATTTCCGACATCCACATATTTTCGTTCTACGGCGACTATTACGGCGAGATATTTAGACACGCTTTCTGCTATGACTATGTAGTTTTAGTTTTATACCGAGTAAAAGTTGCTGCAAAAGCGTTTTCAACGTCTTTTCGTACTTATTTTGTCATTTTTAGGCTTACTTAATTGAAAATAAATTTCAGAAATAAAGCACTTTTAACAGTATATTGACAAAATTACAAATTCTATTTTTGGTGTTTACATACGCCGGTCATATATTTCCGGTTTGAATCACATGATGCGTTTTATCGTCTCTTAGCCAATCAGCATAACATCCAGATTCTGGATGTTGAACATGGCTTTTGAGGTGTTTCGTGTCAGGCCCTCTTTCAATACCGAGGGCCTGATATTCAGGTTACTTTTCATGCTAATTGTACGAAAATGTTATGGAAATTTTACATAAATTGCATTTATATTATTTATAAATCGACATGTATGACAGATTACAAAGGATTTTACATATCAAAATGATCTATAATATTTCTAGTTTTTTTTTACCTCGTAATATCGATAAGGCAGCGATTTTTACCATTCAACTACATTTTGCTTGGTCTTTTTAGTGTAAAATGATTATTGATCGTTCTATAAGTTAAATCCTTCGCGAAAATTTTCAAGAACTAGAAATTAATTGTAAATAACAAAATAGTCCTGAAATAATACTTTTACGGAGAAAGGACGCGGGCGGCGGACCAGAAACTAAAGATTAACTTGTAGCGGCCTTAGTTGTTTCATATACGCAAAGGCCGTCGGGTTTTAAAGCCAGTATAAAATCAATATTTAAAACAAACTTACCTTCGTTAATGTCGGCTACCTTCTTTTAGCTGATTCTTTCTGAGAGAGCTTTTGAAATTTACAAAATCTTGCAATAATGCGAGTAAAAATGAAATATATTTGCAAGAAATTTATCAATCTTCAAATCAAGAAATGTTTGCTATTTCGCTGTCGTGATGCAGTCGTGCCAGTCGTTCTAATTATGCAAACTTTAAATTGGACCAATCAGTGTCCGCTATTCATGACAGTCCGCCATATTTTTGAGATCAGTGAGGATGACCACCCATGGTTGGTGACCCACGCTCGCGATATTTGATGAACTTTAGACTCCGCTAATGCTTTCGTTTCTCCGGGTGTAAATAGCCGGGGAGAATTAGTACCCTCGCACGGCGCTTCGCGCCGTCGGCTAGGGGATAAAGCCTGCAGGTGCACACGATGCGATTTTAGTTGGCCGATTTAAGTATATTTCCATGACAGCATACGCCATATACATGCACATACGCCTATAATTAAAAAATCATTCCAAATTAACGTATTTTATTCCGAAAATTTAAAAAAATAAGCCAATTTTTATAAAATGCTGCCAAAAATGTTTTAAATCTTCGATCGGAAATAAAAACAACAACATTCGAAATAAAAATGTCGTCGACTGGAAGTGGAAGCGCGAACTGCAAAAAAAATCGAAAACCGAAACACGCCTGACAAAAATGCATGCCCAAGCGCAAACGTGCGGCTTCAATTTCTTTAATTTTCTTCCAGTTTCTTCAAAATTTCCCACATACATAGAACATGTCATTTTTACAAATCGTATGTTTTTTTGTTTTTCGAATTGCTACATATTTGGCGGGAAAATGACGTCACAAATTGCGCATTCGGTAGACGATATTGAGGGAATCATAAAACTGAACACCGCTTCTAAATACGACTATTTCTCGCGAAGATATAGCAGTACAAATTTCGAAAAATCGGTTATCGTTCCATGTTTCGAGCACTAATATAAGTTAGGGTTAGGGGTTAGGGGTTAGGTAAGGTTAGGGGTTAGGTTAGGGGTTAGGTTAGGGGTTAGGGTTAGGTTTAAGGTTATGGATAGGGTTAGAGTGTGTATATATGTATATGGAGGTATCCAGTTAACTTTTCAGTGCACTATAATATCCATTACATAACGTTTACTATATTGGTGCGCGAAACATGGAACGATTACCGAAAAATCGGCCATTCTGTTACTAAAAATAGAAGAAAACATGGCCGATTTTTAGATATTTGAGTCATATCTTTGCAAGGAATGGTTGTATTTCGAAACAGACTTCTGTTTTAAGACTCTTTCAATGTTGTCTTTCGAGTAAGTGCATAAAATTAACAATAGCTAACTGTTAATTTTTTAGTCATTTTCCCG